GAGAGCGCGGGACAGGGGAGACAGGGCGAGCGCGGGAGGGACGGCGGGACCAGACGTGAGACGGAGGCGTCGGGTCAGGAGACAGAGGAGGGGACACAGGGGGGGAACGAGGGGGCAAACGAGCCGGGGACGAGTCCGGCGGAGGGAACACAGGGCCGTAGACGGGGAGAGGAGGAGACGGCCGGGGAGGAACAGACGCAGGGTCAGGGGAGGGAAGGCCGAGCAGGCGAAGGGCTGACACCGGCAGGGACTGCTGCTACGGCGGCACAACGCCGACACCGGGACCGCAAGCTGCTCCTCGGCTACCACCGGCACACTCCACGCCAGCACCCCCAGAGGGATCACCCCCAGAGACCGAAACCCCTCGAGGACCAGTACCACCACCAGGGCTACCGGGACTAGCACACACTCCAACGCCAGCACCCCCAGAGTCAACGAACGGGTGCTGCGACGGCGGCGGCGGCTGCAGCGACAACGACGGCTGCGGCGGCGGTGGCGGAGGTGACAACGGCTGCGACAGCAGGGGCGACGGCGGCGGCAGAGGCGGTGGAGGAGGGGACGCCTGGGGAGGGGCAGCCGGCGAGGACTGCGCCGCAGGACCACCAGAGTCAGAAGACTCCTCAACCGGGACCACCGACGGAAGAGGGGTGACGTGGGACACACCAGAGGGGGCAGGACGGGGAGGAGGAGGGGGAGGGGCAGGGACTACCGGGGAAGGAGTGACCAGGAACAGGGTGGGGGTAATCGGGGGACCGCGGTGGGGGAAGCGACGGTAGAAGGAGACGGACTCGTCAACAGTGACGTCGCGAGAGTGAAAGAATTGGTGAGACGGCGGGTGGTAGAAGTGCCAGTCGGAAGCGTCAAGGGGAAAACCGAGGAAGACGCAGGGAAGGGTGCGGGCAGTGAGCTTGTCCGTGCCGGAGGCACGGACGTGAGCAAGGCAGCCCCAGACGTGGAACGCAGACGCGTCACCAGGAGACCCAGTCCAAAGAAGGGTCGGCGAAACCTGCGGCTGCTAGGGGTGCGGCCACAGGTTAAGCTGGTGAGAAGCGTAGCACACAGCGAACGGCCACACAAAATGGGGTGCCCCGGCATGGATCATGGAGGTGCGAGCCACCTCCATGACCAAACCGATGCGTCGCTCAGCGACCCCATTCTGCTGTGGGGAGTTCGGTAGGGTGAACGTCTGGGTGATGCCCTCCGCACGACAAAAGCGACCAAGGACACGTGAGGCAAACTCACCACCACGGTCGGAGTGAAGGCGCAAGACAGGGAGGCCTCGGTGAACACGGGCACAGACAAGCCAGGGGATGAGAGCGTCAGGCACGTCGGCCTTCCGCTCCAGGGAAAGACCGAGGTGTAGCGAGTGAAGTCGTCGACAAGCCCAAGGAAGTAGCGCTCTCGACACGGCGCATGGACGGGGGCGGGGCCCCAGACGTCCATGTGCAGGGTCTGCAGCGGCGCGGCGGTAGGGGGAAAAGAGGAGGAGTGAGGGGCACGGCGAAGCCGACCCTTCACGAAAGGCGTGCAAGGTGGGGCTGGGGAGGAGGGAAAAGCAGGGAGAGAACCAGGGAGACCAAGGACGGGACCGTGCTGGGACATGTGACGCAGGCGCGGGAGCGCAGGGTAACCTAGGCGGTGGTGCCACAGGAGAGTCGGGTGAGTGAGGGACCGACAGGAGCAGGCAGCAGCAACCTGGGAAGACGCAGCCACCTGAGGGGGCGCCCCAGCCAGGGGGGTCACGGTGTCCAGAGTGAACAGGCCGGACACCGGGTCCCGGGGGAACGTGGACAGGGGGGCACCAGTGGCGGCCTTGGTACAGACAGCATACCACTCGTGACCAGGGAACGTAGTGGTGACGCCAAGGTCCTGGAGGCAGCCGACACCAACTAGGTTCCTGGAGAACGAGGGGATATGCAGACCCGTAAGAGAGCCCGAAGGAACCGCCGGACAGGGAAGGGTGGTGGAACTGCGGGCGAGTACCGGACCGCCGGAGGGGTCAGCAAGAGAAACGGCAGCAGGAGCAGGAAGCGGCGTCAGTGTAGTAGAGTCGCGAAAGAAGCACCGAGAAGCGCCAGAGTCCAAGGTGAAGGAAAGCGAAGCAGTGGCGTCCGGCGACGGGGCGACGGCGGAAGCACCAAGGCTAAACAAAGCAGGAGATCCTACGCCTGACACAGCAGGGGAGGCTAAGCTAGGCACACCTACACTAGACTACAGGGAGTAATAAGCGGGGAGCGCACTAGAGTCATCAGCATACATCACATGCAGGGCAGAAACAATGGCATCCATGTCCATGTCAAAAATCTGAATCCTACGACTAAGCAAACTGTCCCAGTCCGGGAGGTCTGACGAAGGGCTGAAGCGCTGACGAAACAGGTCGTCCAGGCGACGAAAACAGCGGGGAGTGGTATGACCGATCTTACCGCAAACGAAGCCGCGGTGAGGACCGGTCTGGATCTGGTACTGACAACGCACGCCTCCCGAACCACCACTCGGCACACCACCACGCGCCCGACCACCTCCAGTGCCAGGCTACCCAGGCGGGAGGACACTCGCCTGCCTCGTCTGCGGGGACTGCTGCGGCTGTTGCGGAGGCTGCGACTGCTGCGGCTGGTGCGGCTGCTGCTGCTGCTGCTGCGACTGCAGAGGCGGCGGCTCCGCTGGACCAGGCAGGGTCCCCTCGTCCGCTCCAGCACCAGACGACCCGACTCCACCACCACCCCCTCCTGCATCCCCGCCTCCTCCGCCGCGCCCAGCCTTGGGGCGGCGGCCCTTCCACGAACGAAGCTGCGCTGCAGCAGCAGTCTCAGCCACAGCGACAGAACCGTCGGAGAAGGTACACTGAGCGGGGGCGCAACCCTGAAAGATTGGGACCGGTACGGTACCGCTCGCCTGGGCGATGGAGCGGTGGCGGGTCTCGATAACAGTCAGGGTGTCTACAAAGTCGAGGAAGGTGAGCTCACCGGGGTGGATGCTAAGGAAGCGGTCGCGGGCGGCGGCAAGGCGGTCAGGGAGGTGGGTGGCAAGCAGGTAGAGGGTAGAGGTAATGGGCGGCTGGTGGGCTCTAAGCTGTGTGTCAGTGCAGGCAGCGCGCCAGGTCTCATCTATCGAGCGCAGGTGGGCAGCTAGGTCAGAGACAGTGGGGAAAGACGCAAGGTCGGGAAAGAGCACCGGGAGGATCAGGCGACCCACCGAGGCAGCAGGAGGGGTGGAATAGCGCTTGATGACAGCATCTAAGTGAGCCTGGGCGGTGGTGATGGACCTAAAGCGAGGGCGCTCAGACGGGGGAAGGGCATTGCTAATGGCAAGCTGAGCGACAGCGTATCGGGAAAGCTAGACAGAGCGCGCAAGGGCAGTGGCTGCAGTAGACTCGCGCTCAGCGGGTGTGGGGTCAGCGGGCAGAACAGCAGGGCGGTCTGGGCAGGGGAGCGTACCGTCAAGGTGTGCGGAAAGCGGGTGGCCATCCTGACGATGACCAGTGAGGTGGCGACGGAGGTCGGCGAGCCACGCCTCGAACTCCAGAGGCTGGCCTTCAGCATCGAAGCGAAGCTCCGCCGCCATCAGGAGCAGTGCAGGACTGTACAGTGCGGTGCAGCGCGGTGCAGTGCGGTGCAGCGCGGTGCAGCGCGGTGCAGTGCGGTGCAGCGCGGTGCAGTGCAGTGCAGGGCGGTGCAGTGCGGTGCAGGGCAGTACCGTGCAGTGCAGTGCTGTGCAGGGCGGTGCAGTGCGGTGCAGGTGAGGAGGAACAGTACCAGGGAGGATGCAGGGCCGGGGCAGGGAGACGACGGGCGGGCTGCACACAGCTCGGGATAGGACGGGCGCGGGGGCCAGAAGCAGTGGGCACCAGGCCAACGGGACGGGCGCGGGGCCGGCTGGGACGGGCGCAGGGGCCGAGCAGACGGGTGCGGAGGTCGTGAGGGCGGGCGCGGAGCCGGCTAGGACGGGCGCCAGGCAGGCGCGGCGGGGCCAAGCAGGCGCGGCGGGACCAGGCAGGGCGCGACGAGGCCCAGGAGGGGCGCGACGGGGCTAGGCAGGGCGCGACGGGGCCAGGCGGTCGCGACGGGGCCAGGCAGGGCGCGATGGGGCTAAAAGGCGTGACGGGGCCCAGGTGGGGCGCGACGGGGCCCAGAAGGGGCTAGGGGGGAACGCGACGGGGCCCAGGAGGGGCGCGACTGGGCTAGGAGGCGCGGCAGGGCCCAAGAGGGGCGCGACTGGGCTAGGAGGCGCGACGGGGCCCAGGAGGGGCGCGACTGGGCTAGGAAGCGCGACGGGGCCCAGGAGGGACGCGACGGGGCCCAGGAGGGGCGCGACGGGGCCCAGGAGGGGCGCGACTGGGCTAGGAGGCGCGGCAGGGCCCAGGAGGGGCGCGACTGGGCTAGGAGGCGCGACGGGGCCCAGGAGGGGCGCGACTGGGCTAGGAGGCGCGACGGGGCCCAGGAGGGGCGCGACGGGGCTAGGAGGCGCGGCAGGGCCCAGGAGGGGCGCGACTGGGCTAGGAGGGGCACGACGGGGCCTAGCTAGGGTATGGGCGGAAGCGGTAGGTGGGGGATCCTAACCTACGCGTGATACCATATCAAGATGAGAAGTGAATAATAGAGTAGGGAGAGAGTACAGGTGAATATACCTAAGTGTTGTACCCTCTAAGAGGTCGCCCTATACAGTCGATGCAAACATAGGAGATACACATGTTTGACATGTTCAACTTCAATTATTAACTTGTTCTTGAGTAAATTCTGGTCAACAGTTACAAGTTCTAAGTTTTCCGCAATCTTACTAGTCTACCATTTAAGCAAAGATCCTTATTGAAGTCTTGAAGTATGACAAGGCTGTAGCACTGATTCTGGTACATCTTGTTAATACTGCGCAAAACTTTCGCCAAATATTCTGCACGATATTTATGCGCTTCCCCTTTTGAAGACAGTTGTATTGGAACCCAAATTAACCCAGCTACATTTTGGTGTGTTCAAATCATTTTTCCATGTAGTCCTTCGTATAAGCGCATGGGCTTATATTTTTTATTCGATTACAAGCGCATGCTGCTTTCTGAACCTAATCCCTATAAGCACATATGCGCCTATATCCGGGGGATTACGGTACCATATCAGAGTAACGAATGACTAAGGTGTTGTACTCTCTATGAGCATGCACCTACCTAGCCTGTAACATACTATACAATTATATGTTGACATCAACACCACTAATAAATCAGTGTGGCCTAAAACGAATCTAGTGGATGCTAGAGGTTGTGGTCGTGCGGGCTGTAGTACTCCGCAACGAGGCGGTAGATGTAAGAGGGGTTGTGGCCGCCGCTGTACCACCCCACGCACGGAGAACACAGGCGAGCATGGGGTTGGGTGGGAGGCGGTTGGTGATGACTGGGCCAAAATGGCACGACAAGCAACAGAATGAAGGAATTAAGGGAGAGCGGTGAATGGCGAGTAGTGAGAGTGACTCACGTGTCGGTGACGAGCAGAGTGACGAGCTCGGGAGGGATGTAGTCAAACGACGGGTTCACCACATCCACCTCAGCAACTCGCCTCGCCACCTCCGCCTCCCCGCCCTCCTTGCCTCGTTCCCCTTGCCCCTGTGCCACCACAGCAGCCCCCAGGTGCGCCAGCCCCTCCCACTCCGCCAGCTCTGCCAGGTCCACCACGCCTGCTGGCGAGCGCATGTCATTCAGGTTGCCCAGCCCCGCCTGCTGCGGGTACAGCGGGCAGATCTGCACGGCCATGGCGGTGGGCGGGAGGCAGGGGGGGATGGAAGAAAGTGGGACATGGGAGGCGCGTTGGGGGCAGGAGGGCATGAGGGGAAGGCAGGCAAGGCAAGGCAAGGCAACGCAAGGCAACGCAAGGCACGGCAAGGCAAGGCAAGGCAACGCAACGCAAGGCAACGCAAGGCAAGGCAAGGCAACGCAAGGCAAGGCAAGGCAAGGCAAGGCAAGGCAAGGCAAGGCAAGGCAAAGTGTCATACATTGTGTCACACATTGAACGCCATGAGCCGTCAGTGAAATGGCATGATCACGCATGTGCACAATGGCATGAGACATGTGTAAAATGGCATGGAAAATGTGTCAAATGCATGGAGTAAATGCACAATGGCAGGAGGTATGAGGAGAGTACCTGGTGTGTGGCATGTGGTGCGCGGCATGTGGTGCGCGGCATGTGGTGCGCGTGGTGCGCGGCATGTGGTGTGCGGCATGTGGTGCGCGGCATGTGCTGCACGGCATATGGTGCACGGCATGTGGTGCGCGGCATGTGGTGCACGGCATGTGGTGGGCGGCATGTGGTGGGCGGCATGTGGTGGGCGACATGTGGTGGGCGGCACTGACAGCGAAGATGCCAGCGAGGACAACGAAGGGCACGGCGTGGCGGCGAGCAGCGAGAGCCACCATGTCCAGCCCTGCCAGAAGGAACCGGGAAGGAAGATGGGGGAGGGGGGGGGTGGTTACGGGGTGGGGGGTGGGAGAGGTGGTAAAAGATATGCGACACACACTTCCCAGCATGGTCCCTCGGCCCCCATCATTCATCCGCCCACCAACGGGCGGCAGCACTGACCAACGGGCGGCAGCACTGACCAACGGGCGGCAGCACTGACCAACGGGCGGCAGCACTGACCAACGGGCGGCAGCACTGACCAACGGGCGGCAGCACTGACCAACGGGCGGCAGCACTGACCAATGGGCGCCAGCACTGACCAATGGGCGCCAGCACCCCGCCGTTGGCCATGACGGCATGCGCGGCGACGAGCACGAGGTTGACGCGCGCCATCAGCGCAAACACCGCCGCGTCCGCTATCACCGTCACCGCCACGCCGCGCGCCGCCAGAGATGCCGCCAGCTTGTGGCCGCTGAAGCACGGGGCGCCCTCCGCCACCACCACCTGAGAGGGAGATATGGTTCCCCGCGTCAAGGGCTGTGCTACCCACAGGGTGCTGCGTGCAGCCTTTGGTGAACTTTGGTAGTATACTCGCGAAAGAATTTGTAATATTGATGAGGAGACAGCATCTATAGGGTGGACAGCAGACTGACGTGGAAGGATCGACGCTTCTTGGCTTCGAGCAGGAAGAGCAGGAGCGTGTCGGACGACCCCATGGTCAGAATTACCTCGCTGCCACGCAGGGAGTGGGGAGCGAAGGGCGCATGGGCGGATGGAGGGCGGACAGTGTCAGGTGGACGAGAGAAGGGCAGGAAACATGCTGCAGGGCAGGAAGAAGGGAAGAATGGAGGGAGGGGCAAGGATGGAGGGAAGGAAGGAAGGAAGGAAGGAAGGAAGGAAGGAAGGAAGGAAGGAAGGAAGAAAGGAAGGAAGGAAGGAGGGAAGGAAGGAAGGAAGGAAGGAAGGAAGGAAGGAAGGAAGGAAGGAAGGAAGGAAGGAAGGAAGGAAGGAAGGAAGGAAGGAGGGAAGGAAGGAAGGAAGGAGGGGGGGGAGAGCGCGCACTTCTGGTGGATGTGTTCGAGCGCCTGGTCGGCGACCTGCGACTGGCAGTTGTCAATCTCCTCCAGCAGGTCGTTGATGCGCTCGATCACCACGTGCTTCAGCCGCCGCTCTGCCACGCGCACATCAGCGTGCACACATACACTCAATCACCCACGAGCTCATGCCCACATGTGCATCCGATGTATGCCCACACATGCACACACACACACACACACACACACACACACACACACACACACACACACACACACACACACACAAAAACACGCGTCTGCACCATGCATAGACACGCGCAGCTTCACGCTTTTAACTCACTGCCTCCCACACCTTCCTCTTGCGGCTGCCCACACTTACCACTCCACCCCACACCCCGTGGCAGCTCAAGCCACCCCCGACTCCCATGCTGACCTCTCCATCCCTTGGCCTCGCTGACCTCTCCATCCCTTGGCCTCGCTGACCTCTCCATCCCTTGGCCTCGCTGACCTCTCCATCCCTTGGCCTCGCTGACCTCTCCATCCCTTGGCCTCGCTGACCCCTCCAACCCTAAACCCTAATCCATCCCTTGGCCTCGCTGACCTCTCCAACCCTAAACCCTAATCCATCCCTTGGCCTCACAGCTCACAAGGCCTGTCTGCCGCGCTCTCGCTCTCCTCCACCAACGTCCTCCCCATCCCCCTCCACCCATCTGCCACCACTTGCCCAGCCATGCCCTTCCGCGCGTCCCACACGCACCAGCAGCAGCGGCAGTGGCGGCAGCAGAGACCGACGGGGCAGAGGCACCGTCGGAGGAGCGGGCGGAGGAGGGGAGGGTCCCCGCGGAGGAGGAGGCGGAGGGGGGCGTGGCGGGCAGCAGCGCGGGGTCCAGCAGGTTGTGCAGCGACGGCGCCAGCAGAGCAATGCGGTTGCTCCCCGCCACCGATGCCGCCGACGCCCCCGCCCCGCCTCCCCCTCCCCCCAGGCGCCCCTCGCCCTCGCCCTCGCCCTCCTCCCCCCACCGCTCCGCCCCCACGCCCGCTGCGCCTCTCAGGGCGGCGGCCGCGGGGTCATGTGTGTGGGCGAGGTGCAGCGCGGCGTCCTCCTCGCGGATGGCGTGCATCACCCGGCGCACCACGTTGCCCACCACCAGCTCTGCGCGGACACGCAGGGTGGGGGGGGGTAGAGAGGGAGGGAGGGAGAGGGGTGGCGCCGTGGCAGTGAGGGAGGAGAAGGCGGCGATGAGAAGAGAGCGCAGGGCGGGGGGAGGGCGTGGACGCGCCGCATCAAGTGGATGAAGGAAGTTGCGGGATTTGAGGAAGGGCCACGTGTAGGGCAAAGGCTCACCTGGTGCAGGCTGACCTGGCGACCTCAAACGGCAATGGGGTTGGCGGGTCGCATTGCACCTGAGGGGTTGGCGGCGGTGAGGCGCGAGCCGACTGCTCTGACAGCGTCGAGCAGCGCGGCGGCGTGGTGGTGGGCGGGCATGCGCTGCTGCGACACCACCAGGCGCAGCAGCTCCGCCGTGCGCCGCGCCGTCCTGTGCAGCCCCCCCTCCACCTGCCTGCACACATGCACACCGCGCACGCAGCCATGCAGCCATGCATGCCACAGACGCCATGCAGGCACAGCAAGCAAGAGTGGCGATCAGTTGGACGATGCGAGCAGCCAGCAACGAATAGCAACGAGCCATTGCGGCAGGGCGGGGGAGGGGGGAGAGGCACGACGGATGGGGCACGCGCTGTGCGAGGCAGCGGCGACCACCCTGCACTCGCACGCACACTCTCAACCACTCGCCCCCCGCCGCCCCTTCGCCTTCCCACCGCCCCTTCGCCTTCCCACCGCCGCTTCGCCTTCCTCTCCGCACGCCGCCAGCACGCCGTCAGTGTCACGCATCGCATCGCGAGCGTGCGAGCTGTCCTCGCATTGCCGCGCATCCCGGCGCCGGAACCTTGTCGTTCACTCACACGCTTTCACTCCTCACTCTCACTCTCGCCATCCGCGCCCATCCCATCCCACCCCGCGCGGCGCCCTCTCGTTCGCTCACCGGCGCTTCAGCCGCGTCGCGAAGTCCTCCACCTGCGTCGCCACGTCACCCATGACGTCAGCACTGGAGCTGACGGCGCCAAGCGGTAAGAGCGCGGCGAACCTGTGGCGAGGGCGCGGGCGAGATGATGCGCGAGGGGGAGGGGCGAGACGGGGGGCGCGGCGAGGGTGGAAGCGGAACAGACGGCGACGCGCGGGATGCGGCAGGCGACCACCAAGCCCGAACGAGCCCCGCGTGGAGCAGCGACCAGCGCTTCCGCGCGCCTTGTGCTGTCTCGAGTGGACCAGCTGCGCGCGATCCTCCGCACGGCGTCGTCGCCCTGCTGCCACCGGCTCTCCGCCGCGGAGCCCCTCGAATCCTCCGCGATGAGACTACACACTGCGCGCGGCGCTGGGCGGTGCTAGCTCACCCAACACACTAGTGCGGTAGCGGCGCAGCACACTGCCAGCTGGGTGAGTTGCAGATTCCAGACACCTTAGCCAGGGGGTGTGGGTTTTGGTTGGGATTCTAGGGTTACATTCGAAGCTGCGATTTTTTCCCTGCGAACCGATCCAAGCACCTTTTGCCTGGTGGTTACCAGATGGAAATCGCAAGGTGCGCATTCGTGGTCCCAGCAGGTTGCGCGCAACTTCGGGTTTCCCGCCTGGCGCAGTCAGGTCAGCCACCACCCGCGGCTCATAGCGCACCTCGTGCTCTGCCCTGCGACATGACTCGCACCACCCGCGACCTATTTTCGTCGCCAAGCAGTCGCACGCTGTCGCCCGCCGCGCACGGGCACCCGTGACGGTGTGCCGTCTCCCGGTGCAACCCCCCCTGTCCGTTCCGCGTGTCCAGTCCCCCGTCGCCACGCGTGCATCTCTGGTCGCCGCCTCATTCCCTGCTCGCCCATCGCCCGCGTGCCTCGCGCCGTCGCCTGTCGTCGCTCTCGCGTGTGCCCTCCGCCGCCATCCCCTGCCACGCTGCCCGCCGCCATGCATCTCTCTCTCCTTCGATCGCTCGCCCGTCGAGCGTCGCAGCGCGCCCCGTGCCACAGCGCGCGCGCCGCCATCTCCACTCGCGCCGTCGCCTCGCTGGGCGCCGACGAGCACCCGTTGGCCGATCCCCGCGCAGCGCTGCCAGCGGTGTCCGCCGATCCTCCCCGCATCCGCCTTCACCCCCCCGCATGCTCCCCTCCGCCGCACTCTCCGCCTCTCCCCGCCCTCCTGTCCCACTCCCTCACTCTCCGCTCATTACATCTCCGCGCGCCGCTCCCACCCTTCGCGCCATTCTCCGTTCCGCTTCCCCCCGCGCCTCCCCTCCCTGCCGCGCCTTCTCGCGCCTTCCGCACAGCGGCCGCCACAGCATGCGCTCACGCGGTGAGCGCGGGGGGCGGCGGGGGGCTGCTGGCGCTGAACGCGCTGGCGGACCGGGATGGGGCGCGGAGGACGGGGAAGCGCGTGGGGCGGGGCATGGGGTCGGGCAAGGGCAAGACGGCGGGGCGCGGGCACAAGGGGCAGAAGGCGCGGTCGGGGCGCAACCCGAAGATCGGGTTCGAGGGCGGGCAGACGCCGCTCCGCATCCGCCTGCCCAAACGCGGCTTCCACAACCCCTTCTCCCTCACCTTCCAGGTCCGCCCCCTTCCGCCCCCTTCCGCCCCCTCCCGCCCACTTCCGCCCCCTTCCGCCCCCTTCCGCCCCCTCTCGCCCCCTTCCGCCCCCTCCCGCCCCCTCTCGCCCCCTCCCACCCCCTTCCGCCCCCTCTTGCCCCCTCCCGCCCCCTCCTGCCCCCTCCCGCCCCCTCCCGCCGCCTTCCCAGGTGAGCGGTGTGCGGTCCCAGCCGCGATCGCTGGTCTCTCCTCCTCGTCCAGCTCGCCCCTTCCCCTTCCCCCCTTCCCCTTGTGCCGTGACCGCTCCTCTCCCTGCCCTCCATTGCCCCCCTTCCCCCCTGCCTCCCCTCCCGTGCGGCGTGCGGCGGCGCTGTGCGCGCAGGTGGTGAACGTGAGGGACGTGGTGCAAAAGGTGGAGCAGGGCGAGATAGACGCCAGCCACGTCATCACCATGAAGACACTCAAGGTCACCACGCCCTCGCTTCCTCCACCTCTCCCCTTTGCACGAACACACATGCTGATGTGTGTGGCCATGCATGTGATGCGCATGTGATGAGCATGTGATGAGCATGTGATGAGCATGTGATGAGCATGCGCATGGGCATGCAGATGTGGAGCAGAACTAGCGTCTCATCATGCCGTGCACATTTGTCTGCTCTCCACGAATGCGCTCTCAGACCCCTCAACCATGACCATTTCACTAGTTGTAACACGCTCACTCACTCCTTTTGCTGCTCCCCTCCTCTCTCCGCCTCAGGATGCGGGTCTGGGAGGCAAGGCGATGCGAGATGGAGTGAAGCTGCTGGGCCGGGGGGCGCACCACCTCTCCCTCCCGCTGCACCTTGAGGTCCGCCCCCCGCCGCATGCCCCCCCCGGCATGCGCCCTGCCGCATGCCCCCTGCCTCGTGCCCTGTGCCCCATGCCCCATGCCCCCTGCCCCCTGCCCCATGCCCCCTGCCCCCTGCCCCCTGCCCCCTGCCCCCTGCCTCATGCCTCATGCCCTGAGCGCCGTGCTCTCGCTGGGCCGCCTTGTTTCACCGCAGTCTTCTCCCCCAGTTTGATGCGTTGTTCCTTGCGCTTGCTCCGCGCCTCACATTCCGCTCACCATCCTCTCCACCACTCTCTCTCCTGCCCCCAGCCTGCCACCGCCACCTCTTACCACTCTCCCGCCGTTCCTCCTCCACTCTTGCTGCCTTCCATCCCCTCCCCTCCCTACAGGTGAGCCGCGCGTCAGCGTCGGTGCGCAGGGCGGTGGAGGCAGCGGGCGGCAAGGTGACGCGCGTTCACTACAACGCGCTGGGGCTGCGGGCGCTGCTCAAGCCCCAGTGGTTCGCCAAGAAGGGCCGCCTGCTGCCGCGCCCTGCCCGCCCCCCTCCGCGCATTCTGCAGCTCGGCCTTGTGGATGCCGTGGGCACTCTGCCCGCACCCACGCACCCTGTAACATAACGTGCCTTGGGTTGCTTCCTTCAATTCATTGCAATCACCATAAAAGAGAAATTTCTTCCCCATGCTTGTTCCAGCAAAATGAATTTCAATTTCGGAGTGTGGCATTGATGTTTGCATTGCAGTCCATATGGTATCTGTATGGTATTCTCAGAGTAACGGAATGACTAGAATAGATGGTACAGGGTATCGTATGTCAACTTATACATACATTTGCATGTAGAAGTTATAGGCTAGAATAGGTGTATTCTTAGAGGGTACAAACCAAACCCTATATCTCCCTTGTTCCCTCTTCTAATTATTGTGTTATTCTAACACCAACTCCCTAAGTGAGTTTCTAACTGGTTTGAAGATTCACTTACAACAACTTCAGTTCATCAATTCAAGATTCCACGGCATGGCGCCATCTAAGGGTGACAGATCCTCAACTGGATCCCCTTATGCACCCCTAGTTTCTGGACTCCAGACTGAGGCAGTTGCAGCTGCACGAGCTTCCACGCAACTAGTGGCCTCCTCCATGGGCATGGACCCGAATCTAATAGAGAAATTCTTCACCTTCATGTCGACCTACGAGCAACCCTCGGCACCTGCTCAATCTGCACACTGTAACAGCAACAATGGGACAGCCCCCATGAGTCTCGACGGCGTGTCATATGCAAGAGGCATACTACCTACACAACATCAACTGTACCAGCCTTTGCCAGCCTCATTCACCTTCCTGCCGACTTCCGCACAGGCAGTGGACTCAATGATGACTGACAAGCAGTCAGACATCGTCACCATGCAACAACAGGTTAACATCCTGAAACTGCAGACATCTTCTACGAGGAACTTTTCTCGATGACTTCGAACGCGACAAGGAACGCCAGCAGCGGGATCCTGATTGTCAAACATATGTAATCTGTAATGTTTGTATAGACTGTATAGGGTCACCTCTTAGAGGGTACAACCCTTAGATATATTTCCTTGTACACATGTTCTCTAATCATTTATTTAGTTCTAAGATGGTATCAGCAGTAGGTAGGTCCCGCCCCCGCCCACGCTTCCGCTCTAGGACCTAGCCGCGCCCTAGCCAGCCCCTGCGCCCGTCCTACAGGCCCCCCCCGCGCTCGTCCTAGCGGGCCCCCGCGCCCGTCCTACAGGCCCCCGCGCCCGTCCTAGCCGGCACCGCGCCCGTCCCAGGCCCGTCCTAGCCGGCCCCGCGCCCGTCCTACCTGGCCCCCGCGCCCCTCCTCGCCGGCCCGGTGCCCGCCACTACTGGCCCCCGCGCTCGTTCTGCCGACCCCTGCGCGCGCCCTGTCCGTCGACCTCCGGCCCCGTGCTCACCTTCCCGCCGGACTGCCGCCGATCTGCGTGCGGCCCGCTCTTCGTGCCTGCTACTGCACTGCACCCTCCTGGTACAGTTCTCCATCACCTTTCATTGCACTGCACCCACCTGCACCGCACGGCACCGTACTGTACCGCACTGTACCACGCTGCACCGCACTGTACCGCGCTGCACTGCACTGTACCGCACTGCACCGCACTATACCGCAGTGCACCGCACTGCACCGCGCTGTATCGCACTGCACTGTACCGCGCTGCACTGCCTCACCTGGCCCTACCCTGCACTGTTCCTGATGGCGGCGGAGCTTCGCTTTGACGCTGAAGGCCAGCCTCTGGAGTTCGAGGCGTGGCTAGCCGACCTCCGCCGCCACCTCACTGGTCAGCGGCAGGATGGCCACTCGCTCTCGGCACACCTTGACGGTACGCTTCCCTGCCCAGACCCCCCTGCTATGCTGCCCGCTGACCCCACACCTGCTGAGCGCGAGTCTACTGCAGCCGCTGCCCTCGCTCGCTCTGTCTGGCTTTCCCGTGACGCTGTCGCACAGCTTCCCATTAACAATGCCCTCTCCCCCGTCTGAGCGCCCTCGCTTTAGGTCTATCACCACCGCCCAGGCTTTCTTAGATGCTCTTATCCGGCGCTATTCCGCCCCGCCTGCTGCCTCGGTGGGTCGCCTAATCCTACCGATGCTCTTTCCTGACCTTGCGTCTTTCCCCACTGTCGCTGACCTGGCTGCCCACCTGCGCACGATAGATGAGACCTGGCGCGCTGCCTGCACTGACGCACAGCTTAGAGCCCACCAGCCGCCCCTTACCTCTACCCTCTACCTGCTTGCCATCCGCCTCCCTGGCCGCCTTGCTGCTGCTCCTGACCGCTTCCTAGCATTCACCCTGGTGACCTCACCCTCACAGACTTTGTAGACACCCTGACTGTTATTGAGACCCGCCACCGCTCTATCGCCCAGGTGAGCGGTACTGTGCCGGTCCCTATCTTTCAGGGTTGTGCCCCCGCTCAGTGCACCTTCTCTGATGGTTCTGCAGCTGTGGCTGAGACCGCCGCTGCAGCGCAAATCCATCCGGGGAAGGGCCGCCGCCCCAAGGCTGGGCGCGGCGGAGGAGGTGGGGGTGCAGGTGGAGGTGGTGGTGGAGTCGTGCCGTCTGTAGGTGGAGCGGACAAGGGGACCCTGGCAGGTCCAGCTGAGCAGTCGCCCCAGCAATAGCTGCAGCCGTAGCAGCCGCACCAGCCGCAGCAGCCGCCGCAGACGAGGCAGGCGAGTGCCCTCCCACGCAGGTGGCCTGGCGCTGGTGGTGGTCGTGCGCGTGGTGGTGTGCTGGGTGGCGGTTCGAGAGGCGTGCCCTGTCAGTACCAAATCCAGACCGGTCCTCGCCACGGCTTCGTTTGCGGTAAGATCCGTCACGCCACTGCCCGCTGTTTTCGTTGCCTGGACGACCTGTTTTGTCAGCGCTTCGGCCCGTCGCCCGACCTCCCGGACTGGCACTGTTTGCTTAGTCGTAGAGTTCAGATTTTTGACATGGACATGGATGCCATTGTTTCTGCCTTGCATCTGATGTATGCTGATGACTCTAGTGTGCTCCCCTCTTATTGCTCCTTGTCGCCTCGTGTAGGTGTGCCTAGCTTAGCCTCCCCTGCTGTGTCAGGCGTAGGAGCTCCTGCTTTGTTTAGCCTTGGTGCTTCCGCCGTCGCCCCGTCGTCAGACGACACTGCTGCGCTTTCCTTCACCTTGGACTCTGGCGCTTCCCGGTTGTTCTTCCGCGACTCCACTACGCTGACGCCGCTTCCTGTTCCTGCTGCAGCTTCTCTTGCTGACCCCTCCGGCGGTCCAGGAGTCGCCCGCAGTTCCACCACCCTTCCCTGTCCGGGGGTTCCTTCAGGCTCTCTTACAGGTCTGCATATCCCCTCGTTCTCCAGGAACCTAGTTGGTGTCGGCTGCCTCCAGGACCTTGGTGTCACCACTACGTTCCCTGGTCACGAGCGGTATGCTGTCTGTACCGAGGCCGCCACTGGTGCCACCCTGTCCACGTTCCCCCGGGACCTGGTGTCCGGCCTGTTCACCCTGGACACCGTGACCCCCAGCTGGGGCGCCCCCTCAGGTGGCTGCGCCTTCCCAGGTTGCTGCTGCCTGCTCCTGTCGGTCTGTCACTCACCCGACTCTCCTGTGGCATTACTGCCTAGGTCACCCTGCGCTCCCACGTCTGCATCTCATGTCCCATCACGGTCTCGTCCGTGGTCTCCCCGGTTCGTTTCCCGCTGTTCCCTCCTCCCCTGCCCCACTGTGCACACCTTATGTCGAGGGTCGGCTTCGCCGTGCCCCTCACTCCTCCTCATTTCCCCCTACCGCCGCGCCGCTGCAGACCCTGCACATGGACGTCTGGGGCCCCGCCCCCGTCCATGGGCTGCGTTGAGAGCGCTACTTCCTCGTGCTTGTAGACGACTTCACTCGCTGCACCACAATCTTTCCCCTGGAGCGGAAGGCCGACGTGCCTGACGCTCTCATCCCCTAGCTTGTCTCTGCCCGTGTCCACCGAGGTCTCCCTGTCTTGCGTCTTCACTCCGACCATGGTGGCGAGTTTGCCTCAGGTGTCCTTGGTCGCTTCTATCGTGCGGAGGGCATCACCCGGACGTTCTCCCTGCAGGACTCCCCACAGCAGAATGGGGTCGCTGAGCGACGCATCAGTTTGGTCATGAAGGTGGCTCGCACCTCCATGATCCATGCCGGTGCACCCCATTTTCCGTGGCCTTTCGCCGTGCGCTACGCTGCTCACCAGCTTAACCTGTGGCCGCACCCCCAGCGGCCGCAGGTTTTGCTGACCCTTCTTTGGACCGGGTCTCCTGGTGACGCGTCTGCGTTCCACGTCTGGGGCTGCCTTGCTCATGTTCGTGCCTCTGGCACGGAAAAGCTCACTGCCCCCACCCTTCCCTGCGTCTTCCTCGGTTGCCCCCTTGACGCGTCTGACTGGCACTTCTACCACCCACCGTCTCACTAGTTCTTTCACTCCCGTGACGTCACCTTTGACGAGTCCGTCTCCTTCTACTGTCGCTTCCCCCACCGCGGTCCCCCTGTTACCCCCCCCCTGTTCCTGGTCACTCCTTCCCCGGTGGTACCTGCCCCCTCCCCTCCCCCTCCCCGTCCTGCCCCCTCTGGTGTGTCCCACGTCACCCCTCTCCTGTCGGTTGTCCAGGTCGAGGAGTCTTCTGACTCTGGTGGCCCTGCGGTGCAGTCCTTGCCGTTTGCCCCTCCCCAAGGGTCTCCTCCTCCACAGCCTCTGCAGCCGCCGTCGCCTCTGCTGTCGCAACCGTGGTCTACGCCGCCACCGCCGCCACACCCGTCGTTGCCGCCGCCGCCGTCGCAGCAGCAATTCGTCGACTCTGGGGGTGCTCGCGTTGGGGTGGGTGCTAGTCTTGGGGTTCCTGTCGTGGCCTGTCCCGGTGGCCCTGGGGGTGGTGCCGGTGCTCGAGGGGTTTCGGGCTCTGGGGGTGTTCCTTCTGGGGGTGCCGGAGTGGAGTGTCCCGGAGGTAGCCGAGGAGCAGCTTGCCGTCCCGGTGTCGGTGTTGTGCCGCCGCAGTAGAAGTCCCCGCCGGTGTCAGCCCTTCGCCTGCTCGGCCTTCCTTCCCTTGACCCTGCGTTTGTTCCTCTCCTCCCGTCTCCTCCTCTTCCTAACTACGGCCCTCTGTTCCCACCGCCGGACTCGTCCCCGGCTCGTCTTCCCCCTCGCTCCCCCCTTGTGTCCCCTCCCCTGTCTCTTGACCCGGCGCCTCCGTCTCACGTCTGGTCTTGCCGTTCCTCCCGCGCTCGTCCTGTCTCCCCTGTCCCACGCTCTCATCCTATGTTGCTCCGTTCCCACGCGTCTCGTCCTCCCCTTCTACCGTCGCCTCCTCCGTCCTCTCTTACCGTTGCTCCTCCTCCTCTGTCTGACTACCTGCGTGCCGCTCGTCCTC